TATGTCACACTTGTGAATTTGCCACCCAAATTGTGGGTTACTTTCCAGAGACTAAGCATGACTCAGAAATGTAATTCCTTTTTCCATTATCAACATAGTCTTTCAGTGGTAACAAGGAAGCTGATGGTTGCATGTATAAGAAAAAACAATTTTGTTCATGCTCCTATTACTAAATAAAAAGAAAATTATTGACATTGAATGAAATTCCAGGTCAAAGGTGAATTCTGAGCAATCTTTCATGTAGAATGAGGAAAGCATACCTCCCTTTACCCAAGCCATGTCACAAATAAACAAAATGTGTATTTTTTTCTAGGGCTTAGCTGTTCTACCTGCAAGAGGGAGGTATTTATACCCTGCCCTTCTAATAGATAAGCAATAAAATTATTTTTAATCAGAGAGCTGGAATGGTAGAGCATTTTCGGTTACAGTAGCAAGAGGAAACGGAGGTCTACAGTGATGAAATGATTTATCAGGTTCAGTATTATGACTTAATCACATTCAAGAGTTCTTATTCTAGTGTTCTATAATTGTGCAGCTTCCTACACATTTCATGATGAAAATATAAAGCAGAATATTGGAACATATTCCAATATTTTATTTTGATTCTCACTATTTGTTATTAAAGAGTGTTGCTGGATGCTGGTAACTAGTATAGTGTTTAACATACAACAGGAGTGCAATAAATGCTAATTAAAGGAACAAAATTATTATGTGAGGAAACATAATATAATGAAGAGCTGTGCATTTAGAAGCATGAGACATAAATTTACTTTCTAGCTCTGTCATTACACTCTAAAAATCTGTGCATTCCCAACTCAAGTATCCACTAATAAGGGACTAGTTAAATAACCTATGAACACCCCATAAATAGACTACTGCTTTAGTTTTTATTGCTGTTACAGCAAATTACCATAGTGGGTTAAAACAACACAAGTATGCTATCTCATAGTTCTGCAGGTCAGAAGTCTGATGTGAGTTTTATACCCCAAATCAAAGTACCTAAAGGACTGTGTTCTATTTGGCAAGCTCTAGGGAAAAAGAATTTCTTTGCTTTTTTTAGCTTCTAGAGGGAACCCACATTCCTTGGGTTATGGCCCCTTCTTCCTCCTTCAAAACCAATTATTGCCAGTGGAATTTTTCTCACATGCTTCACTCTGACCATCTCTTGTCCCTCCCTCTTCTTTGTGGGCAGGCACTTGGGCCCCCTACACAATCTAGGATAACCTTTTTATTTGACATTATGTGATTACTACCTGTTATTCCATATGATACCTTAATCTCCCAGTCCCATGCAAAATAACATAGTAAAAAGACTTCAGACACTAGGATATTAACATCATTACCTTCCAAATTTGTTAAAAGAAAAGAAACGAAAACAAAAAGGCAAGGGAACTCTATGTTCTGCTACTCTATGTTCTATGATATATTGTTATATAAAAAATGCAAGGTAACAAAAAAGGTATACATATGATGTTTTTAATGTAGAAAGGAGAGATAATAAGATTATATATTCATACTTAGTTAAATTTGTATAAATAAACCTAAGGAAGATGTGTAAGTGATACTAAAGTCATTGCTGATAGACAGGGAACGGTGTAGACGGTGGTGTGGAAGGTAGAAGGGTGGAAAATGGGATGAAACAAGCTTTTCCAATTTATCTTTTAAAATTAATTTGATTTATGAGCCATTTAAATTTTATGATTTTTCAAAATTAGTTTGATGGGTTCATAATGGTCCCAAGCCCCTACTGTTTACTGGATAGTTAAAATGTTTTGTTCGACCTTGTTTTTCTGTTCGTTAACACTTCAAATAGGCAGAGGCTCACTGAACAGTTGTTTAGTATCAAGCAGTTCTCTAACATGACATTCAAGGATTTCATGAAATTTTTGCATCTTTTGCAAGATTTTTGCAATTTCACTTTATTTTTTTTAAAGCTTTATTTATTTATACATGCAGAACTGGGGTACAGGCCAGAGGTGCAGGGGTGTTGAGAGGATTCACCAGAGACGTTGTGGGGAGCAGAACAGGCAGATCTACTGAATTACACTGTTGAGGGGGGCAGAGGGAAGACAGGAGAGGTCTGCTGAGCCATGTGAGTCACCTCCAGTGTGGGGAATGAATTTGCACTTTGGCGGCTGTGACTAGTTTGTAGTGGTTTGCAGTGCTGCGCTTAACTGGCTTTGCCACCAGGGAGGGCTGCAATTTCACTTTATTATCACTTCCTTATTGCACAGCAGTTATCATTTTAAAATCTGGCACTGCTGCAGAGGAGAATAATATTGCTAGGACTAAATATGAGGCATGTTTTCAGGTGAGTATTTGTAAGTGGTGAGTAAAATAATTAACATTTAATTTTATAACAGTTATGGATTAATTTAATTTAGAATTATATTAATTTCCCATGTGATGGTATAAATTTTTAATTTTATAAATTTGGATAATAACTGAAAAACTGTTAAATAAATTTAAATCTATTTCAGTATCTTTTCTTATAAAAATACTTTCACAAGATTATTGTACCTTAAGTCTGGAAGCAATACTGTAGTTTAATATGTCTAGTACTTTTGTCTCTAGCATTAATTAACCTTCTATTTGTAAAATATTTCATAGTGGCTGTCACACCAATACTGAGGTATATTTTCCCTAAATTCTTTTTTTTTAAATCCTCATCCCCTACTTTTCATAAATTCCTTTTATGGTATTGCATTATATGAATTTTGAAAAACAAATATAGTTTTCTGACCACTAAGCAATGGCCATAGAGGATATTTTCACCACCTGAAAATTTTTTTCTTGCTCTTATAGTTCAATTCCCTAATTCTACCCTCAGTTCCCTATAACAATCTAATTTATGTCCTCAGAATTTGTCTTTTTATAAAATTATATAAGCAGTATATGGTATATAGCTTCTGTGCCCAATGTCTTTCATTTAGCATGCTGCTGTTGAAATTCAGCCATGCTGTACCAGCTACCATGGCATCCTTTCTTGTTAGCTCGTTGCACGGCCATAACATAATTGTTTATCCAGTCATTAGTTAATGGGCATTTTCAGTTTGGTACGATTATTAGTAAAGTTATTCTAAATGGCACGCATATATGAATATACATTATCATTTCTCTTGAATAAATATACAGACATGAGCTTGATTGAAATGTATCTATAACTTTATAAAATTTCTTATATAAATAATTAACAAACTGCTTTCCAAAGTACCAGCACCACTTTGTGTTCCTACTAACAATGTGTGAAATTTCCAGTTTCTTCTCTTACTACTATCAGTTTGTTTCCTTCTTAACATTCTAGTAGATATTCGGGTTTCTGTTTTCTAATGATATGGAGCACCTTTTTATATGTTTGCTTTGTCACTCAAATTTCTTCTTTAGTATAGTACATATCCAAATATTCTGGTGATTTATTATTTATTAATGAATTGTAACTTAGTTATATATCTTGTTAAAAGTCATATGTGTTACAAATATTTAATCTTCACCAATAACTATCCTTCCATTTTCTTAGTAGTATAATAGCATCATTTGATTAGTAGGTATTTTTAATTCTGATGAGTCTTAGAGAGCAAGTTGTTAGTTATAAAGAAATCACTGCCTTATTTAAGATTACATAGGTTTTCCTCTATGTTTCTTTCCAGGAATTTTATAGTTTTAAGTTTATTGTCATATATATGACCCATTTGAATTAATTTTTATAATTTGTGTGAGAACTGACATCTTAATAATATTGAGATTTCAAAGAAACTGATGTCATACTTGTCTTACTTTACTTAGCTAACTTTAATTCTTTTAAAATTGAACTATAATTGGCATTATATTAATTTCAGGGGTCGAACAAAATGATTTGAAATTTGCATATATTATGAAATGATCACAGTAAGTCTAGTTAACATCCAATCATACACAGTGACAAATCATTTTTACCTGACATGAGAACTTCAGAGATATACTTCTAAACTTTAAATATAAAATCCACTATTATTAATATAATCACCATGCTGTTACACTATATCCCTTGGACATTCATTTTATAATTAGAAGTCTGAACCTTTTGAACATGGAAGTTGAGAAAGACTTTATGAAATGTCAAAAAAAAAATTTCATGTGACTTTTGACTGAAATTACATAAGTTATACTTCATAAGCCATGATAAAACTATCTCCTATTGCCCAATCAATATATAGAATTATCAAAATATCATTTAATGGTATATAGAAATAAATATTTTTGTTAATTTACTAAACAAAAATCAGAAATTCTGATTTTCTTAAACAAAAATCTTCTTGCAGAGCAGAATAATACAGGAAATCCCACTATAACATATGATCTCTATATTCAGGTTTGCATTGGTCATTGGCTTTACTTGGTAATTGGGTTTTATGAACATTCAGATATTAATTATTTTGATTTCATGCTATTTTATCTTTACAAATTTGCTTTCATAAAAGGTTGATTTGCTTTGTTTTCTTGTTATCTTTTCTTTAGCAGCATGGTTATGCTGTTTAGAAAATATAATTTACAAAGCTTTTCCTGTATTTTCTTAGTCTGAGAAAATATAAATTGTGTAGTAAATAATTCTTGGAATATTTAATATAATTTGGAACATACACTGAAACATGATACTTTCTATCAAGAGGAACAGCAATGTTTTCCCGCATTCACTGAATTTTAATTTATTTCAATGCATTTAAAAACTTTTCATATTTTTTACTATTCAAGTAATCTGAAAATTGAATATAATTGATGGAATTAAGTGTAAAATATGAAATGATTACACAGAAAAATCCTTGATTTTTGACATTAACCACTTACTCTAATTACTCAAATTTCTAGTCTTGAATCCAAATCCTTTGACATTTTGACACAGTGAAATAAGTTGGCCACCACAAAGTGGGCTGTGAGGAAGTATATAAATAAAAAGAAATCATGTTCAAAAAAATCAGACTTTCAGTTTGACAGACTACAGGGAACAATGATAAGGTGATACTCACATCTGAGTTAAAGCGGAGCTGACAGACATTACAAGAAATAACTTGCTTCTTCTTTGGGGGAATGGAAACTCCAAAAGTGTGGTTAATGACTGCTTTTTGCACAGGATCCATCTGAAGAGCAAATGATAAGATAGTCAATTTATAACTTCACAGGACAGATATTATATGAGCAAATAAAACTAGCTATACAATTTCTTAAGGTTTTAAATTGAAGTACCAAACAAGGAAAATAAAGAATATCATTTGATATAATTCAAGACTTATTCAAGGATAGTAAAAGATAATGTCTTTCTTCCAACAATCAAAAACAAAACTGTTTTGAAATCATAATACATAAAGACACACATGTGCACATACACACAGATACACATACACCAAATTACAGGAGAACGGCCACAGCTTAAGAGATCTTGTGTGTATATAAAGAATCTTGAAAAACTTTAAATGAATCATAAAACAAGAAATTCTTAGATCCCATAATCAGGGTTAAAATTAACTTAATGTTCCCCTATAAGAGGAAACAATACTTATGATAGTTTCAAATGACCTCAGTGACAATTATTACATGTATATTTAGATTTCTTAATTTTGATTTATGGTAAAGTCAGAAACAACAGGCTAATATCACAGTGTGGAAATGATCTTCATTTTAAAACAATTCATTATTTTTCATGTACTGTAGATTAAAATTCATTTTGCTGGAAATGCACGTCACAGTCCTACATTCAAATGCCCATAGCATATTGGTTATATTATGGCTTTTGTTTAAATAGTGATCAAGTTTTTACTTGTAACCTTTGATTCTCCTCCCTTTGTTTGGCATATATTTAGAGAAATATACAGTGATAAAAGTACTCAACCATAGCACAAGGCCATTAAAACAACTGGAAAAAGAAAAGAACACTATCTGCAGAGCTTATAAAAAAGACAGACACAGCAGCGATTCTCTTGTGTACTCTGGATAATAATCTCCAGCATTAACATCAGACAACTGGCAGTTCAAAAAACAATGCAGATGATGAACAAAGCATTACTCATAAACAGATGTAGTATGAACAAGTGCATATTCACTGACACCTTGGTGTAGAAAATCTCCTGAGGTTACAGTTTAGGATTGGATTAGATGATGATATTTAGTAGGGGAGAGAAATTAAACTATGCCTGATCATGAGTATAAATCAACAAATTGCAAAGTGAGCAATTAGATGGACTTAAAAACACTAGGAAGGAGGGTGATTACAAAATTCATCAAATAGAAAAGTAGCCTATTTTTTGCTACAAGTTAAAGAGAGAAGGCAGAACAGTCATCCACTACATAGAACAGTTTTGTGGGTTGAGATCACATTCCAAAATGTGAAGAGGGGAACTTTCTAGAGTCACAGAACTATTCTATGTCCTTACTAGAGTGGTGGCTATACATTGTTATACAAATGTTAAAACTGACAGAATTAAACACTGCTCCAAAAAAAGTCTATTTTTTCATATGAGAATTTAAAAAGTAAATTCTTAAAATGATTATGTTTAGCTATTAAATGTAAAATATCTTTAATGGAAAATCTTTTTTTCTTTGTTGTTGAAACTCATAATTGTATTAAACTTGATTTAAAGAGAAATTAAACAAAACAAAACAAAACAAAACACTGTCTTTGTGGGCAAAGAAAATCTCAAAGGTCAGTATATAAATCCCTAGTTCACATTCTTATTTTCCTCATGGGTGCATACACTTAAGTCTCAACCATTCATTTGTAAAAATTGAAAGGATACTTTCTGATTGTCCTTAGAGATGGCAGTTTGGACAAACTTAGATTAAAATTGAAAATATATTGGCAGGATGAAAATTGACATTATTTTGCAAAGTTAAAAAACTAGAACATTTTATTGAGATACTTTCAGTATTTGCACTCCAAAACTCATAAAAAAAAAAAACAACAAGTATTTCCTGACACCAGCTTTCTGAACACTTTTCCTTATTTTGCTATGTCCATGTATTATTGTGCTAGGATTCACTTAAAATCAAATTAAGGACCCTCCCTGGTGGTGCAGCGGGTTAAAGCACAGCATTAAGAGCTAAAGTCATTTTAGCATGAGTTTGATCCCCGCCATGGAGGTGACCCACATGATATGGCAGACCTCTCCTAGCCCATCCACTGCTCCCCTCAGCAGTGTACTTCATCAGTAGGCCTGTTCTGCTCCCCACTGTCTCTGGTGAATCCTCTCACCGCCCCTACACCTCTGGCCTGTACTCCAGGTTCTGTATGTATAAATAAATAAATCTTAAAAAAAATCAAATTAAAAAAATAAAATTAAAGTGGAGTTTTAAAATGAAATAATATTCATAAACTTATAATTTTAATGTATTTTATTTATTTTGAAAATATACTGAAAGTTAAAATTAAAATATTCATCATCTGAAATATATGTGTACAGCCCAGTTGTTTCTATACCACAATAAAGAAACAGACAAAAGATACATCTATAAAATATCTAATTCCAAATTTTCAGTAATATCTAAACTGAATAACTGTGGACAGCTTCACCATGATCCTTTTTTTTTTTTTTAAGATTTATTTTTGCATACAGAACTGAGGTATAGGCCAGAAGTGCAGGGGCAGTGAGAGGATTCACCAGAGACAGACTGGGGAGCAGAGTGGGCTGACTGATGAATTACACTGTTGAGGGGAGCAGCAGAAGAGACAGGAGAGGTCTGCTGCAACATATGGGTCACCTCTGGGGCAGGGATCGAACTCGTGCTGAAGTGGCTGAAGCCAGTGTGCAGTGCTTGCTTCAACTCACTGCGCCACCAGGGAGGGACCTCACCATAACCCTTTGTAAAAATTTCCTTTAAATTCTTGAAATGGTGAGCCATCTACTTAATTTTTCAAATAAATCTAGATAGATTTTGATTCTAGTATAAAACATATTTGTACCATATCAGCCTGAAAATATATCTCCTTATGCTCCTAAGGCTAAGAGCTCTCCGTCTAGAAAAGTGAATTGTGCATTTGTGTGTGTGTGTGTGTATGTGTATGTGAAGATTTGTGGGAAGGGGTATATTGGGGGACTTCAAATGCCAAAAAAAGGTGAGTTGCCAGGTATCTGTTCTCTGAAAATCAAACTAAGGAGATTCCTTCAAGGAACTTTAATTAGAATTGTCTTTTCTACTTTACTTTCCTAATTCAATTAGTCTTCATAAAATTAACCAATTGAATACAGCTCTTTCATCTCATTCTTTTGATAGTCATTATCTCTTACTGCCTTTCTATTCATTGAATAATTTAGCACTAATCGTAAGAAAAATTTAACCCTTCTTCCACGTTTTTCACTTGGAACATATTTTCCATATTTTGATTCACTATGTTCCTGTACTCATTCTTGGAAAGTTCCATTGCCCTCCCCTAATTGTCCTTATTCTTTCTCTGATATTTACTATAGAATTGTATGATTACATTTATAATTCAACTATTATTTTTTAGGGAATATGATTTTGCTAAAAGAAAATGTTAATTGGTATTAAAAAAGAATGCCAATTCACCTTAAAATAGACACGGTTTACCTGATGTTTTAAATATTTCCCATCTAACACAGTAACAACAGAGTAACAACAGAGGCATTTAAACGGGATTCAGATTTCATGATAATATAAAGGTCTTCAGAGCTCTCTTAAAGTTTACAGTGGCAAAGTCATGAATTTTTTAACATTTATACAATACTCCAAAGATTAGATGAAAATAATAGTGTTGTTAAATTTATATTAATTTAAACTTTTTCTTCCACTAGAGTAATATCATTTCTTTGAAATCATGAGTTATGTGTAACTAAATTAATAAATCATTTATTCAATAACCAATTTTCAAGAGAAATAAAACATTGAAAATGAATAAAAATATTCACATAAATCCCAAAATGTGAGGATACTGCAAGTAATTCAATTTAGTACAGTAAAATCTATACTACTCCATCCATTCTACCCATTTCCATTTTTCTATTCAGGAAAATTATTGGAGGCATTGCAATAAAAATTATTTTTAATAATATCAATTGGTATATAGCCATTTGATTATTAAAAATGGACACATGTTTAAATATCTTCATGAAAACGTTTATATTATTTTAACATGAAAAATTGCCTTGCTAAATAGTTGTTAAATTGTTAGTTCACATTGCATAAAAAAACTGTCTAGAATTGAGAAAATTATGATTCATTGGTAAATAAGGCTAAAGAATGTTTTTTAAAAGGAAAAATAACTACCAAGTATTCTAGTCACCAATATTCCTTACCTGCCATAATTTATTGGTTCCAAATAAGCATCTTCTTTTCTAAAAAAGTAAAAGAAGTAGTCATCTGGAATTTTGAGGCTAACTAGAACATTTACATGATATTTTCAAAAGTCTATTTTACTTGTTCAGCTCTGATTAAAAAGCTTGAAATGCTTACTAACTAAAAAGTAGCAAGAATTAACACTTGCCACTTTTTCTAATGAGAATCATGTAGAAATGAAAAGGAAAACCTATTAGTGCAATTAACCAGTTGGCAATAAAAATGAAATACGGAGTTGTGGCTGCTACCAGGAATGGAAAAGATAATTGGAAGCTATGTATGGACAAATTAACCATTATATTATAGTACTTATAAAATGAATTAATGAAGCGAGCCTTACCACATAATCTATAACATTTTCAGTATCAAAATAAGAATAAGCAAATCTCTTTGGTGTGTTCACTAAGATTATGGAATCACAATCTCTGTGAATTTTTAAAAAGATCATTACTTTTACTGAGTATGCCAAAAAGTAATTTACATTTGCAGAGTGTAAGCAATCATATAAAAATATGCAGCTGCAAATAAAACCTAGCCATAGGGAAAAGAAACACACTGCAGCATTTCACTGAAGGCTGGATGAATGCTGTGGGAAGGGAGGCAGGCTATAAGGTGGGTTACATGATCAAGTGACTTAAGCTTCGATGTTATTTAGATTATAGATCATTTTTCTCACTGGGATTTTAGGCAAAGAAAGTAGAATTACACACTCTCAACTACCTCACTGATTTCCTGTAAGCCTAAAATCTGAATTGCGTTCTTGTCAAAATCTTAAAATGACGTTACTAGCCAT